AAAAATCTGCAGTCAGGTGAATATCATAAAATTCCTTAAAAACCTGAAGTAATTGTTCTTATTAAATGATAAAATAATAATTTCCCCATTGATACCAAGTTAAAACAACATTAAGCTATCAGAATGTCAGAACTACCTGTATATAAACTGATTCCAATTTTACTATAAATCATCTTTAAATCTCTTCCTTCATAAGGCTTATAAATTTCTCATGATTCTTTTAGTAAAACAAGATAAATGAAATAGAAATGGTATAATCTCTCATTAAAAGTAAAAACTGATGCTCACCTAAATAAGTTCTATTCGTTCCTACACGTAATTACCTCATTTAAAATGATCATCTTGTAATTCTGTTCTATTTCAAACCTATCACAGCTTCTGTGCATGTTTGACTTCCAACAGACTTCCAACATTGAAATAATCAATGTCTAACTTCTATTGTACCTTTGACTTCATTTGTCCTCTTATAGAAACTTGAAAGTTCTAAATTTTCTCAAGTTTCTATAAGAGGACAAATGAAGTCAAAAGTACAATAGAAGTTTCAAAGTTGTTCCAATCATTTACCAGCCAAGATGTGCCCTTGATGATCCGAAATTGCTTACCAAAGAGCTCGTACAATCCTCTCACTTTATACAAGACAATTTTCCATTAAAACGTGATGTAAGTAACAAAATGATGTAGGTACAATAATGATATGACACAATATGACGTACCAAAAATAAAGCAACGTTTCAACTTTTACAAGGCCAAATGAAATAGATACTCTGACATAGTTAGAACAACTGCATCATACTTTGAATGACTCAGAGTGTACTTTATGAGGTGAAATTGACATCACCAGGCTTTGCTCAAATCAGCTGACTGCAGTTTTGACTATCTTACTATTCAATTGATACAATGACGTTATTCTAGTATGAATATATGATTACTAAGCAATAACTGATTATATTATAATGAGTGGGCCTCTACACAAGGACGTCCTTGCTTTATTCAAGCATCTTGAAAAGATGGACTTAAAGCGGCAATAAGTCATAAGTGATTCAAACAGGTAAAAATACATACATGTACTGTAGCATAGTACATTGGATTAGTTCAATTAGTTGTATAAAGTATGGGTGTTAGCATAAAGAAACATTTACTAAGTAGTTTATGTACCATTTTAGCACTTGTCAAATGTGAACCCCCCCCCCCCCCTTGGCCTGATGTACACTGTATAAATTGCGGGATACGAGCAGATAATGCTGTCACGGCTTTGAATCATTGAATGGTCAATATTTATTGCCTAACGCCACTACATAACTTACCCTATGTTTATACTTATTAGGGCAAGTGATAACTTGTGCCTACATTATATATACAGATATTGCGTTCTTGTCAGTGGTTGTTCTGCTTACTTTGTGCTTTAGTTATTCACATACAATTGTGTTGTCCGATTAAATGATTTCATTGCTTAAATATCTCGGCCTTGGTTTTAAGTCTACTGATCAGTCAGACGTGAAAGTGGGTTGCGATTTAAAAGGCCGGGCATACAAGTGCACAGTGCAGAGCACGAAACATTGCAGATTGATCGATCCCTAAAAATACCGGAAATAACCAACCGGAAGTTAGTAAATCCATATATTTTGATTTCTCTCGTTGTGTTTCCACGAACATAATAAGCTAAGGTATGAATTTTTGTTATTAGTACAACACAAAAATGAAATTGATGCTTGGGGTGACCTACTCTGTCGATGAATATCCTAACCTCCTCACCTCTGACTGCTGGATTGTGACACACATTTTTCCCAACGCAAAAATCATATCACTCGACACAGTCTCACTCGCAGCCTCAGGGGGGGGGGGGAGATTTCCCAATGATGACCTTTCGTATTGGCACGTTCGAAAACAAATTTTATTAACTGTAACAGATGTTGAAGTTGAACTGATCTTATTCCATTCCCTCGATTTCATATTTAACTCTGCGCATGCAAAGCACTGAGAGAGCACATGCTCGTGATTGTTCACGTGATCACATCCAGCAATTTGATTGGAGATGATGCGGGAGATGATGTAATGGGGAATCCCCGAATACGATAGAATATGAAAGAATTGTGGGAGCTATACTCACTTCTTATGCGCAGCCTCATACAGGCTGTCCAACTGTCCCGCAATTTGCGTATTTGTCACACATTTGCTGGAAATGTAAAGTCACGGCAGTTTTTTTTGCATGACAGAATATGTCACGTCAATACGCATTTTACCTGATTATTGTCCAGCAAAAATATTCCTGTAGAAAAACTTCCAAAAAATGATCGCCAATACAGCACAAAACCGAACGCTGAAAAAAACTAACACATTTTGTTCGGACTTTTCACGCAGATACCATATACATCACACGGTATATAAAAAATGGAGTCAAATACACTAAGTATTATCAACTAATTATCAACAATTCTGCTGGCAATTGGAATTAAAGTTAAGCGTTAATTAAATCAATGATAATTATGGCCTAATTATCAGTAGCAAGTTCAACGTAAATTAACTTACAATAATGCTGATTTATGATTTTTAGTTGATAATTAAGATATGAAATGTTTGAGGGTGATAGTAAGTGGTAAATTAAAACGTTTTTGTTCTGAAGTAGATAATTGGTTGATAGTTAACATATAGGATGATTATAATGATAATTAGTAGTAAATTAGGCCCATGATTTAGAAATACAAACCCCCTAAATTTAATTTCAAGATGGTGGAAAAAGAAAACATGTGAGAGATATTTCTCTCATAAAATTGAGAATTACAACGTGAATGGTGCCTATACTACCATGAAATTTGGTCAACATTATTATAAGGGTATGTAGAACATGAATACAATGTATGTTAAATCTTATTCACACTTCTGTCTGAAATGTTTATGAATTTAAAAATCTTTTTGAATCAGATCGTATAATATTAATCCTAGAATGCAATTTAGGTACTAACATGGGTTACCTATATTTCACAAGTAATCCAAATGTGCTCTTCTAAATAATGATTGTTAGATCAAAGACATTTCAAAACATATTTTTGATTATATCTGTTACGTCCTTATTATGTAACATTATAATCTAATGTTTGTGTTCTGATTTTAGTTGTTGATGGCAATAATGATGTTTTCACATGCTTTTCATGAATCTTATAAAAATTTGCAAAATAGAATAGCTTTAAAAAAGAGGGGGAGAAACCCCATTGTTCAAAGATGACATACGCTTATAATGTAAATCTGTATTGAGATGACATCGTCGCTGATTGGTTTAGTGAGTCGATCGTTGATTGGTTTAAAACTAGGTCAATTTGAAAACTTTGAAAACCAAGATGGAGGGTACGTTTTCGACAAAAGGAGGTGTGCGAAGGAGGAAATCGTATGTCATCAATTGAATCATGGGGTTTTCCCTCCTCTTGCTGTGAAATTTCAATAGTTCAAGTTCAATGTTGTCTGTTCTGAAAGATCCTAATTAAGATGAATATTCCGTCACAAAATAGTTCAAGATGAAGCAAAAATCTCCGAGTGAAGAGAAGCAAAAAAAAGCGAGTCATTTTTGAGATGTCACAAATCTGACTTAAACCTAACTTTCAACTAATTATCAATAGTAAGTTAGGTGATAATTAGAGATTAACTTACATCAAACTTACAACTAACTTTCAACTAATTTACGTAAATAGCTCATTTGCATATTGATGGTAGTTAATCGTTAATTAAGTTGCAAATTAAGCGTTAATTAAGTTGATAATTAGCTCATTTGCATGTGAATTTTTACACCTAACTTTCAACTAATTATCAATAGTAAGTTAGGTGATAATTGGAGATGATTTTCCATAGGCTTTTTTCAATTGGGCTTTCAAAGGCTGTACTGCTGATCTGATAATTCAGCCTTTTGCCACCTGGAATAAGCCGTAATTTAGAGAGCAATATATTGGCCACATTTTCTGAAATTTTCAAAAGATTCTGTTCAGTGAACTTTCCTTAGGGCCTACTTTAAGATATTTTTCAGTCACATTTTCAGAGGGCTGAAAAAGTTATTTTATCATGTTTAGGGTCATTCTGACCATGTACATTGTGATCCTGGTCATGTAAATGATATGTGGAACAACTGACTGGAGGTCAAAACAGAACTCTGTTATCTTGGTTCAAAAAATGTTTGAAAGCCAGCATGGTTTTGTCACTTCCTGTTTTGTCATTTCTTGTCAAGTATCATGATACCTTAACGGATAATAATGAATTGTTCAAAACTCCCGAAAATTGCAAATGGCATGAATTAGATCAAAGTAAGACTGGAGTGAATGAAATCTTAAAAAATGAATTAGCCTAAGGAAAAATGTACCAAGATTTAAATGCAATTTCCTATAATTGTCCATGATTGTATTTCAAGAATCGAAACATCAAAATGAACATCTCATGTCAACGCAATCTAAAATTATATGGATTGTAAGTATCTCCTTAATATGGGCTCATTAGCCTTTTGCAGATTATTGACAGTATACAAGTGCTTTGGTCTTAAAAGGTACCATGGTGACCAAAAAGTGAGTTCTATTTTTGAAAATTTCTGAGAATACTACTGGCACGGGAGGCACACATTTGAAAAATGTGAAAATTTCTATAAAACATGTTACCTTACCAAAGAACATTGAACAAGAGTGAAAATGTTTTAATTTATGTTTGATTCCTGGTTCAAAAGCTCGCCTATTTTCAAAATGGCCACCAATCTTGTCATGCAAAATTCACTTTTCAACCATTGGTAGCTTTATAAATAATTTCAGGTGTCCTGCATTATCCTGCATTTTTTATTTTCAGCCATTTTAGTTAACATTGATTGAATTATAGATTCCTACTTCAATCTGAGGTTATTTTGTTATCAATCGTACATTTTCGCATGAATGAAATGAAATTATAAATCCACATCATCACAAAAAGTTTAAAAAGTCTATCCCATGATTTATGGTATAGTTTAAAACATAGGTTCTGAATATAAAATTTTGTCTAGAATATTTATAAATAAACACATATCGATTACCATGCCATCTTTATTTAAAAATTATTTCTATCGACCTTTGCCTATGGTTTAAAATAATGCTTAATTTCTTTTCATTTTCAGGTTTGCTATGGATGGACAAAAATACCATATCATAGATAATGGAAAAGATGGAGATTTGTGAATCTGAAATGGATATCAAAACCAAACAAAACATTTTTCAAAACTGGAATTGAGACTGATGACAGCTCTGAATCTGCAATGGATAATACAACAGCCAATAGTAGTATTGATGTCATATCTGAATCTACAATGGAAAATACAACATCCAATAGTAGTGTTTGATGTCATATCTGAATCTGCAATGGAAAATAGAACAGCCAATAGTAGTGTTTGATGTCATATCTGAATCTGCAATGGAAAATACAACAGCCAATAGCAGTGTTTGATGTCATATATGAATCTGCAATTGATAATACAACAGCCCATAGTAGTGTTTGATGTCATATCTGAATCTGCAATGGAAAATACAACAGCCAATAGTTGTGTTTGATGTCATATATGAATCTGCAATTGATAATACAACAGCCCATAGTAGTGTTTGATGTCAAATCTGAATCTGCAATGGATAATGCAACAGCCAATACTAGTGTTGATGTGATATCTGAATCACCATCTGAGCACAATAATTTTGATATGCCAGTCTTTGTTAAAACAGAACCAGGTGTTGATGTCAGTTCTGAACACACCTTGGACTTAAACAATGATCTTGACATATTTAGTAAAACAGAATCATATGTCAACTCTGAACTTACAATGAAGGATATGTACAATGGTTTTGACAAAGTCGTCAAAACTGAACCTGGTAGCTATGATGACAATGAGTATGCTAAAGAAGACAGCACTGTATCAGAAATGTTTGTTAAAATTGAACTTGGTATTCATGAGAACACTGAGTATGGTGAAGAGGACAGTTCTGTTGCAGAAGCGTTTGTTAAAATTGAACAAGAGAGCGACGATGAAATAGAAACAGATGAGGGTGAGGATGTCATTGATAATGACAGGGACGATGACAGTGATTATGCCCCAGATAATGATGTCAGAGTTGATTTGGAAACATCTCTTGAAATAAAGTCTAACAGAAAAGCTGGTATAAAATACACTGGTAAAAAACCACACACATGTAATGTTTGTGGTAAGTCATTTTCACAAGCATTCACTTTGAGATATCACAAAAGAAAGCACACTGGTAAAAACCTACACATGTGTACAGTCTGTGGTAAAACGTTTACTGTTGCTTATCACTTGAAAAAACATGAAATGACACACACAGGTGAAAAGCCATTCAAATGTAGTTTATGTGACAAAAGATATAGACAGTCTGCTCACTTGAAACGTCACAAACAAAAAGAGCATGAGCAAAATGTACAAACCGATGAAAAATTATTTGGATGTTCGACATGTGGCAAAACTTTTTCCCGTTCTTCTGATTTGAAAAGACATGAACGAATTCACACTGGTGAGAAACCATTCGCATGTAAAATGTGTGACAAACGATTTACACAAGTGAATAGCTTGACTAGACATGTACGCTGGCATACTGGAGAGAAGCCATTTCCATGTAATTTTTGTGACCAAAAATTTAACGAACGTCGCTTCTTAAAAGAACATGAGCAAATACACACTGGTGTAAAGATTGATAAAAAACAATTTACCTGTAATGTATGTGAGAAAACATTTTTAAAAAATTGTATTTTTAAAAGACATTTGATGCTCCACACAGGGGAAAGGCCTTACAAATGTTCTTTTTGTGCCAGAGGATTTAGACAAAATGCTCATTTGAAACAACATGAAAAAATTCATACTGGTGAAATACCAAACATATGTTCGATTTGTTGCAAAAAGTTTCGTTCATCTGAAACCTTAAAACTCCATATATGCGGAGAATCAGTAAAACAGAAACGTTACAAATGTTCATTTTGTGACAAGCCATTCAAACATCTCTCGGAAATGAAAAACCATGAATTGACACATACTGGTGAAAAACCATTTGAATGTTCAATTTGTAACAGAAAAATCAGTACGTCTTCTTACCTCAAAAAGCATGAAAGGACATGTATGAAAGAAGACCACATATGTTCAGTATGCAACAAATCCTTTAAGTGTGAACGGTCTTTTAAAAGACACAAATTGTTACACACTGGTGTAAATCCTTACACATGTACCCTTTGCAGTGAAGTTTGTAAAAGTTTTAGGGCCTTAGAAGTCCATAACATGCAGCATACTGGTAAAACTCTATGTATATGCTCTACTTGTGGAAAGGGTTTTTTATCCCCCTCAGACTTAACCCGACATGAAATGATACATACTGGCGAGAAACCACATTCATGTTCTATTTGTGGCAAAAAGTTTTCTAGGGCTTATGCTTTGAAAATACATCAAAATACTCACACTGGAGAAAAACCATATCCATGTTCTATTTGTGGCAAAAGATAATTTCGGGCTGATGCTTTGAAAACACATCAAAATATTCACACTGGAGAAAATACATATTCCTGTTCCGTTTGTAGAAAAACATTTCAACAGAGTGGTCATTTGCAAGAACATGTTCGAATTCATACTGGTGAAAGATTCCAATGTTCAAAATGTGAGAAAACATTCTCACAGTCTGGCTCTATGAAAAGACATGAAAGAACACATACAAATATGCCCACACCCTGTGAAAAACCATTCAAATGTACCTTTTGTGATAAACGTTTTTCTGGTGCTTCTAATGCAAAATCCCATGAGAGAATCCACACTGGTGAACGTCCATACTCTTGTTCTATCTGTGACAAAACATTCAGATTTGTGTCAGGTTTAAAGTTCCATAAACTAAAACACTCTGGTGAGAAGCCGTATCTATGTTCATTTTGTGGAAAAAAGCATTCCTCGTTTGATACTTTAAAGACACATGTTAGAATACATACTGGTGAAAAACCGCACGTTTGTTCTACTTGTGACAAAAAATTTGCTTCACGCTATGGCTTGAAAAGACATAGAAGGCTTCATACTGGCGAAAAGCCATATAGTTGTTCTATTTGTGACAAACTGTTCACTACTCGTGGCAACTTGAGATCACATGAACAAACACACGCTGGTGAAAGGTCATATGCCTGTGATATATGTGACAAAAAGTTTGTTCATTCAAGTAACTTGAGATCTCATCTAAAGACACATACTTCCTCAAATAATAATGCAAAGATGAATGAAAAGATACACAATGATGAATCACAAAACCAAAACGATGACAAGTCAAATGAAAATGTACATACTGGTGAGTTACAAAACAATGACAATTCAAATGAAAATTAGGTACATGCTGGTGAGTCTCTAAACATTCCAAAGCCATCCGGAAATCAATTAGTTACATTACTTTGCAAAATACAAAATATTGCAGCGTTATCTGAAAACAATATTTTATCATTTATAGTGTACACTTTTTTATTTCCAATGTTACTATTTTGTTATTTGCATTGAATTTATTAGTTATCATGTGAGCGAAAAGGATATCATGGAGTAATACTGCAAAAACAATAAAATGGATAACTGTATCTAGTACTCATTTTTTAATCATACAAGTTGTGTTCATTTACTGCATGAGGGTAATGTCTCTTTCAAAGCACCCTGCGCGCAGAGTTTAGTGGTCTAGAAAATCATACAACTTAAAAAGCGAACTGAAACAGGTGCAAAGGGTACTTTCAAAGATGGTATACCCCTTTCTCTCTGAACACCTGAAAATATTACCTGTGAACAGGTGAAAGATGCAATGACATGAATAACAGGTACGTATTTCCTTCAACAGACTCTAGAATGAAATACGTTATCTGACTCCGTTGGCCTGTGGACAGAATTAATCATGGGGAGTAAGTCACCCCCTACCTCTTCAGATAGAGAATATTAGAGGTGGTGAGTGATCTACATGTTCTCCCCTTAGAGTAGATGGTGCAAAGTTGCACTTGACATACAGTAGGCCCGGGGTGTGTGTGTGGGGGGGGGAGTATTCCCATATTGGCTATATGGGGACGTGCTGCTAAAGTGGGTCACTGAAAAATCCCTTGATGTGGGTCCCATTTTGAAGAAAACCCCATACTATTGCAATGTGAAATGAAATGATACCCACTGGTGAATCACATAACAATGACATACAACTGCCAAGTGTAAGATACACACCCGTGAATTACATAACAATCACATACAACTGCCAAGTGTAAGATACACACTGGTGAATTACATAACAATCACATACAACTGCCAAGTGTAAGATACACACCTGTGAATCACATAAAAATCACATACAACTACCAAGTGTAAGATACACACCCGTGAATTACATAACAATCACATACAACTGCCAAGTGTAAGATTCACACCCGTGAATCACATAACAATCACATACAACTGCCAAGTGTAAGATACACACCCGTGAATCACATAACAATCACATACAACTGCCAAGTGTAAGATACATACCCGTGAATCACATAACAATCACATCCAACTGCCAAGTGTAAGATACACACCCGTGAATTACATAACAATCACATACAACTGCCAAGTGTAAGATACACACCCGTGAATTACAGAACAACCACATACAACTGCCGAGTGTAAGATACACACCCGTGAATTACATAACAATCACATACAACTGCCAAGTATAAGATACACACCCGTGAATTACATAAGCCATCTTAATAGGTACATGTATACACACTGTTGAATCGCAAAACAATGAAAGACTATCTATAAACTGCACAAAAGTAAATCACATAACGATGCAAAATGTAATGAAAAATACACACTGGTAAATGACAATAGATGTAATGAAAAATACACACTGGTAAATGACAATAGATGTAATGAAAAAATACACACTGTTAAATGACAATAGATGTAATGAAAAAATACACACTTGTAAATGACAATAGATGTAATGAAAAAATACACACTGGTAAATGACAATAGATGTAATGAAAAATACACACTGGTAAATGACAATAGGTGTAATGAAAAAATACACACTGGTAAATGACAATAGATGTACTGAAAAAATATACACTGGTAAATGACAATAGATGTAATGAAAAATACACACTGGTAAATGACAATAGATGTAATGAAAAAATACACACTGGTAAATGACAAAAGATGTAATGAAAAATACACACTGGTAAATGTCAATAGATGTAATGAAAAAATACACACTGGTAAATGACAATAGATGTAATGAAAAAATACACACTGGTAAATGACAATAGATGTAATGAAAAATACACACTGGTAAATGACAATAGATGTGCACGGGTGAATCAAAGCCAGAAAGAGTCGAGGGAACGATGAATAATAAAACATTTGAAAATAATAGTTTATCTCTTGGGTTGTGACACGCTATGATTGTATTCTTTTGTTCAATGAAGTAGCCTTTCACGATTACATGTCAAACTAAGCAAAACAAATGATTTACTTGATTATCCATCCCTTCCGTATGCATATTTACAGTGCGTATAAAAAAAACGCAACAGATTGTTATCTCGGAAAAGCACAAAACCAGTGATTACAGCATTGATTTCATTCAATGCACCATAAAGCCATGTGTCTCCTCTTTACAATATATCATTCATGGATATTTGGTCATGGTTTGGCGAGTAATCATTCCATTTGCCAAGTAGGCCAAAATTAGCTTTTGACCAAGTTATAAACATCACAAAAGTCAGTGTACGGAGCCCGATGCAAAATTGGAAAAAAACATAAAACCAATGCTGACTGCATCCTTTTCATTCAATGTACCAAAAAGCCAAATTACTCCTCTTTGCAATGGAATATCATTCATTCACAGAGAGTCATGGCTGGCGGAATAATCATTAATTTTGCAAAGAGGGGCAAAATTCAGCTCGGACCCAAGTTTTAAACATTGCAAAAGTCAGTACAAGGGGCATAGGGGCTATTGGAAGAAAGTGTGACAGGTGTGGCATAGACTGTAAAGTGTCATACTCTTGCAAGAATACATCCTATACCCCTCCAAATTGCCACCACTTCCTTGCACATAAAGATGCGCTCATCTGTCCACGTCATGCATGGTTCAGCCCTGAGTCATCTGTGGGTTAAAGCGGAGAAAAGCAGCCCATGGGCAATTCTTTCTCGAGGTTTTGCAATATCTGGTGGAGGAATTGTGAACACAGATGCTCCTGAGATAGCTTCAAAAGAAAAAGTCACAACAATTGAAGTCAGGGGAACTTCCATCGGCACTTAGCCCTTGAATTTCAGAAGGGTATATCTTGAATTATGACTATTTTCTGACAATGAAGACAAGTTTATCTTTTAGATCAATTCATTATCTCAAAGAAAATTATGCACAGTAATAATAAATTCAAACAAACTCGGAGATATTTAACTAGCAATTAACCCATCAACACACTTTTTGACCCCATTTTGAAGATGTTGACCCCATTTTCACCAAAAATGCAATCATTTTTTACAATGTTTAATGCATGACTATTCTTTATTTTGATGTATCAAATAGTTCTTGAAAGAAAAACTTAATTACATTAAAATAAGTGTTCCCCATGTTATTTCTCCATTGAAAAATCTCATGCTATCCATTGGTTTCAGTTCATTTTGGTCATCCAAATTGAATATCTTCAAAGTCCCTGGAGCAATCAAATTTTCCTTTTAGGAAATCGACCATGTCTCAAAGCACATTCTAATTATGCATTCAACAATATAATAATAGGTTGCATTTTTGGTGAAAATTAGGTCAACATTTTTGAAAAAGTATGTTGATTGGTCCATTGCTCCTTCAATATCACTTAGGTCTGATTAACTAAATTATCATTATATATACTTTTCTTGAAGATAATGAATGGATCTAAAATATACACCCATGTTCATGATCAGAAAATATTCATAATTCAAGTTAGAATCGTTTGAAACTGTTTGCGATAACCTACGTGCTCCTTTAAACGAATGTCTTGTTTCAAGACTTTGAATAATGGTGGTAGCCTAAATTTAAACACGAGGATTTTAACATGTACAAGCCGTGAGTGCATTAAATCTACTACGATTCACTGAATGAATAAGTGCACGCCAGTCCAGTATGGTAAAAAATTTGGTAAGTTTTTTGAAGTGATACTATACTCTTCTAAGGTATGGGTTTTATTCAAAGAGGCGCAACGTCACCACCTTCAAAAGTATTTTTTTAGGGGCAACTAAGGGCTATATTATTCAACCAAAAAGTCTGCACACTTGAGAGCTTAGGTTGTAACTCATTATCGTTTCCAAAGTATGAAATGAAAATTATTTTTGAAATTGAATCATTTATTCTATATAATCTATGATGCCCCCGAATGATTTGAAGTACCCCAATTTTTACAGATTTTTAAACGAAGCAAAATTCGTTAAATGCACATTTTTCATCTTATCTCTCAAGAAGGACTTCCTCATTTTCATGATAAATTATCTTTTGTACTTCCAACATGTCAATTATATTTTTTCTACATATGATGCAAATGACATCCTGTGCATGAGTTGGCTATCAATGACATGCGCGTGATTTTAAGGAAAAAAACCTAACTTATCGACAAGGAATTCCCCCTGCTTCCGAGTAGAAATCCTGTCGGTTCTTTTTATTTTTGCGAGGGAAACAGAAAAAACAGTTTGGTGGAAATCCACCTCAGTAAGGGCAGTAGATTAAACAAATCCCAGATTGAACAGCAGTCAGGTATCGAATACCACCTAGGCAGACATCTTTGTTAGTTTTGTAAGGGCCTCCTTTCAACATAATACCAAAGCTGTGTGAAAGAAGATAGTCCCCCAGGGATTATTGTACCCTTTCTTAACGACCCTTACTGGCCCTGATTGCGTATAAGATAATGAGGGAAAGAGTTGTATTTAGGTCACCATATAAATCAATGGAGAGTAGGACCATAATTTGATAGGACCTCCCACCCTTTTACACCGGCCATGAAAAATCATGTAACATTGAACACCCCGGAATAGCCGGACAATGGTAAAGTCAGATACCGTTGTCACAAATGGGGCACATAACCATCCTTCAATAACATTTTCATGAACTGTATGTTTAAAAGAGCACCTAGACTAAATTCCTTTGGAACAAAAATTAATCAAAGTGCCTTAATACTCATTGTACCATTAATAATGTTCTACCATCGAAATAAAGTCTAATTTAACCGATATACGGGACAAAATGCACAAAATGGTATGATTTCCAAACTGACTTAAACACTACTGCCACCTTTATATCCATCTAAAATAACTGGTCTATTCACATTACATTAATACAAACGCAGTTTAATTCCACTTTGGATTGACATCTTTATTTGATAATTTACAGTGAATGCCAATATCAGAGTCCATTTATTTAAAAGTTTATTCTTTATCTTTTCCCTGCATGGACTTGGATCCCCTAAGACGACCAGTTCTTCTGGCTGCAATCAAACCAACCTGCAAGCAGACATACATAACATTGTAATGTTCAGTTCTAAAAAATTCCAGGGAGTTCATATTGGGACAATTTTGGCCCATAACTACTTGAGTTCTCAAATGGTGAAAAACTGCATAATTTTGTAATAATTTACGAAATAATTCTTGATATACAGTATACTATTATATGATCCTCAGATGTGATATGAGCTATCTTTTCATGGTTTCATATATAACTTACAAATTGGGTTATCCGACACTTTCTAGAAATTGAGATATGGGCAATAACAAATTCCTTTCACTAATTACAGCGATTTAAATTATTTTCAACAGTTAAATCAGCTATTCTAGGCTATTCTATCTTCCTTATACCTCCAGTTTCTCCGTTTAATCACCCTACCAGAGATTATTAAAAATGCATACCAATGTTTTTCAACTTCGGCAGTCACTATATGTGTAATTTGTATGTACTAAAATTGAATAAAGAATAAAAAAAATAAATAAATAAAAAATAAAAAATGCATACCTTTCTACCAGCTGATGTCGTTCTCTTAACGGTTGAAGCATGACCAATATGCTGATGGTTACCACCTCCATGGGGATGCTCTACAGGGTTCATTGCCACACCACGCACCTTAGGCCAGCAGTTACGCTTGGCCTTGTACTTGTGGTAGGCTCTGCCTGCCTTCAAGAGGGGCTTGTCGATACGTCCACCTCCGGCAACAATACCTGGAATTTTAGCACATGATATAGCTTGATCTTACTGTTGATGTAAATAAAGTAAAACCTGTCATGTGGAACATCTCTGAAGTTGCAACTCTTGCAGAATCAGGCATGCTCAACAGATTTTACGGTATTCTAACAGAGGTGTTCCACTTTACAGGTTTCACTGTATGAGGGTATTCTAGGAGACATTCAAAACTACAAATTGTTAGATTAATAAAATCTTGTTAAATCTTAATTTGGGAGTATGTTTTATAGAACTTCCATTTATATAAATCTGAAATGTACAAGATACTGAAAATCAGTTTTAATTATTAAAAAATATGAAATAATTCAAATAAAGCTTGCTGCTCAGTGCGCCGTACTAGTAGTCATCTTGTATACAAGGCTACCCAGGAGTCAAGTTGATGGGTCGAAATATAACAAGTTCAACAATGAAACTATTGATGAGGAATTTAGGGACTTGACTCCTGGTCCTGCCTTGCTGGCTTCAGGTGACAGTTATACCTCATCATCGCAGCAAATGTATAGTTATCAGACCTGTATCCAGTTTTTGCAAGGGAGGAGGGGGGTTACATTTTAAATTGAATAGCAGGGGTTCACATTGGACAATCTTGGCCCAAAATCAGTTGAAGTGTTCAGAATGGTGCAGACTGAATGATTTCAACAGAATTTATGGTCAGGAAAGAGGTTCACTCAAACCCTAAGACACCCCTGGCTACTGGAGAATTTTCACAAGTTCTGTTTTAGACCATGGGGTTGGGTGAATTTCCATAAAAAAGTTTTGATTTTGTACTACCAATGATGCCAACAAAGAAATGGCTTTTCAACCATGCCCCAAAACATTATCAGAAAAATTTAAGGCTTTTTATTTTGATTCAAATGCTACACATATAATATATTTTACTTACCAACGATAGCTCTGTTGGCAGATGGTATAACTTTTTTGGATCCAGATGGGAGTTTCACTCTTGATCTTTTGGTGTCTGGATTGTGGGAGATAACTGTAGCGTAGTTACCAGAGGCTCTAGCAAGCTTGCCTCTGTCTCCAGTCTTCTCCTCGATACAGCACACAACTGTACCTTCTGGCATACCTCCGACAGGAAGAATGTTTCCAACTTGAAGAGTGGCTGGAAGAAAAAGTTGAAGAAATTGCAAACAAGAATTTATGCTAAACAATCCATTTAATCTAATAGCAATGTACTAAGTGTTCACTTCAGAGGTGTGCAGTAAAATATAGATTATGAACATTTTATCGAATCACACAAATTTCTTTGTAATTGAAAGAAAATTGCACAATTTCCATCCAATCTGCATATTTAGTGAACCAATCAACATTTATTTTGGCTGTTAGCTATTTGAACAAAATAGAGGAGAAAATTTGAGTGAGGTGCACACTGTAAACATTTGGTCTATTTGTTGATGATTTTTTAGGCATCATCAAATCTGGTAACATTGCATTTTCTTTTGTTGCTCAGGTGTGAAGGTTGACCACATGGTGAATTCAGGTCAAAGTGAAGAATTTTTTACATCATCGCAACTCAGAAATATATCAACTTCACTTACAAAAACATGTTCAATAAGACAACCATACATTTTGGTACTACACAGAGTAACAAAACAATGTGCAAGGTAATTTTTGATTGTTGCTATTATTTTTTGATTAGGTTCACATTTAATCCCTACCTTTTTTACCGGCATAGACAAACTGTCCAGTGTACATGCCTTCAGTTGCTACAAAGGTCTCGGTTCTCATCTTGTACCTGTAGGGATCTCTGAACATAACTCGAGCCAAAGGAGCACCTCGACCAGGGTCATGGATGATGTCCTGGAAATGAAGGCAAAACTTCACTAAAATACACAACAGCAGGCAATAACAAAGATTCTAATTCATAGGAAAATAACTTATGTTGTGAGATGAATGTTGATCAGGAAACATTGTTTCGATATGAGTGTCACAGAACATTCGATTGGGATTCGACCATTCCGACATTCAAAGCCATCTCATTCTCTAGCAAAGGCTCTGCATTTAGAGAAGCGGCAAATGATTTGCTCAGTATTTCTGAAATTTGACCACACGTATTCATTCAGGTCAAAGTGAAGAATTTTTAACATCATCGCAATCCTTATATTCCTCCCTTTTTTGATACAAGGAAAAGATTTGGTTATCAGCTGACAAATTGAAAAGAACTTACCTTGACAACACCTTTAATGTATCCATGTCGCTCAGCAAAGTCAATTGGCCGAAGTTTGGCAGCTCCTTTCCTGTGTTTGGTGTGGGCCGTGAAAACGGACCCAGGTCCTTTACGCTGACTCCTGATTACTCGACCCATTGTTCACTGAGAAATAACAGCGCTTATAAATTATAATATAGACACGGTTTACATTAAAATGATTCAAAGTATCACTTGAAAATGTAAGTGTTTGGACAATGTAAGTGTGGAATATCACCAGACTCTGAAATAATTTACTAAAAAATTCACGCGGAGTTCGAAGACGAAATTTAGGTGATTTTAAAATGAAAATTAGAAATAAACGGTAATAAGATGTTGAAAATACATACACTTCATTATTACAAAACATAAAAATGACAATGATTGACTATAATATAGGGATTGGGGGTGATTTTCTATGGCTATTTGAAATTAATTTCTCACCCAATATGGCCGATTTTGAAAAGGAAGTAGACCAATTTTTGATACCTGAATATTTTCTAATTTTCAAAGAAATAGAGCTAAACGTTGAAATTGACTTTCAGAACGTGACAATAGGATAGTATTACATTAATATAACAAACATTTATAATTATTGGACCATTACGTTAATAATTACAAAAGCTTGGCATTTACGACAACTAAAATTATGCGGATAAACTTTCGGATTTGCCAAACATTTTGAAATAAGAGTTCATTATATGTTTCATATATACGATAAATCTAAAAAGTACGTTCATTTTTCAAGAACAAATAATTTTTACATTCTTTTATGCACTTTTCGTATGCACTTTTCATATTCATATGGGCAAGTTCACCGCAATTTGGAGCACGATATTCGATACTTAGCCACTGTCACGTGACCCCCGGCAAGGTCCTTTGTCACAGCCATTGAAATTTTCACGGCAACACTTTTCGAAGTGGCTTCAAACTTTCATCAATTTTCTGTAATATGCCTAATGAGCCCAAACAAGATGGACATGGTTTAGAACAGCAGGTAATCTGGGATATTTTGATGTATAGTTTTCTTTGCTAAATACTTTGTAAGTGTGCTTTCAGAAGCGAAAGAGGTGGCACGTTTTTTAAAAAAATCAACTGAAGCCCAAGGCATGATCTTGACGATAAATTTTCTGTGATTATCACACGCACGTTGTTCATTTATTTATACACTAACTTTCCATGGATCTATAAATGCCATAGGGAATCCGGCATCTGGAGTCGTAAGGGATGTTTTCCCTAACTTTATTTTGACAACATTCTGTTCAGAAAAAAATATTTTCAAAAAAGTAGAAATCTATCCCCCGGGCATAGATCCCGGCCAGATTCTTTTGTAGTAGGATCAGTAGCTCAATAAATATTCCTCAAGATGAGACACCTCAGAAAATTTCAAATTTTAAAATGACGAAATTATGGAGCCATTTCTGAAAAATATGAGACAAATCATACCTCATTCGAAGCATCTAAGAGGCCAAAACAGTTATATTTTATCGCCAGACTCTTGTCTGTCCAAATCTGAATGGTGCTCCCGTGGTTCCAGAAATATGACGTCATCAGTACAATGATATTTGGACACACAAGAGTCCGGATCTTGTGAAAAATATTCGCCGTATTAAAAGTCAAATAACTGCATCCATAGGTTATTTACTCGAACCAAACAAGTAGAAATAGAAAGATGAAGATCTCAGCTCTAAAATAAGTGCAAAATCTGTCATGGGAATTGGGAAAGCAGGTACCATTTTGTATAAGGAACATTTTTAAAAGGTGGTCATATTTTTTTTTAATTTTCCAATTTAGTATCGTATCTTGTGAATTATTCTTTGAGCTTATGAGATCCTACTACAAAACAATCTGGCCAATATCTGTGCCCCCGGGCACAGATAATGTGATGTTCTCCATATTTATACTGAATACTCCAGATTTGGCATCTTGAATCGGAAAAAACTGTCTCCACCCTGGCAATAAATCCATACTATCGAAAGGAAAAATATTTGAAATAGCGGCATTTGAATTTGTAATTACGACATCCTTTAGATCAGGCTATTCACTCACGATAGGTGGAGTGAGTTGCAATTCTAAACTCTACGATTTGGTTCATTATTATTTGACTGGTAAAGCCAGTTTGAGGCGAGAAAAAAAATCATATTTTTACTTGAAGTGTTATGTTCATTGATTTTTTTTGGAGTCCCTTCATCAAAATTCGGGTCGTCCTAATGTTAAGGACGCGTGGCTGAAAGCTCTGCCTTCATTAACCCTCTTTATTCATTTTGTGTTACAGCTAGCTGGTCTAGACTTGAACCAAGCCCCAGCAGGGGGAAACAGGGGTGGTTACCAGGGGAAGTATGTCCCCCCACACTTGAGAGGACGGGGAGGTGGCCCCGGCCAAGATTTTAGCAACCAGCGGGGTGGCGGAAGAGGTATTTATACATCACATTTTAAATATCTGTACACATTTTGTCGATGTGCATTTTTAACTATAAAGTGTAGTGAAGCCACAACACTCATTTTTGCACTTTGAATCATTAATAACTTCACCAATTTATAACATATTGTGATTCTTTTGGGAGATATTGTATTTGATATTGTAAGGAATAGATTGGTAGGTCAATAATACATGTTGCTTGTAATTTTTTCACCCCCTATAGATCAGATTCTGCCTTTAAGTCCACAGGAAGACAATTTGCCACCTGGCTCATTGAAAAATGGTGTGCTGATGATATGGAAAATCCAAATAAAAAATGATTTGGTTTATGTTGAGGTAGTATGGGATTTTATTTCAGATGAACAGAAACGGTTGGATCGTATTTGTTCCATTAGTAATTATTCAATAATCAATGGTTTATTTGGAATTTAACCATGACACATTATTCTGGTTGTGGTGGATTGTCTTTTTCACATCAGTCCTTCCAAAGGATAAATATAACAATACGTACAAAGTCACTGCCAGAAATGTTAAGTAAAGCCCAAAGGAGTAAAAATGGGCCTTTCAATTCTTGGAACTTCAAAAGGTCCGCCACAAATATGACTAAGAGACTATAATGTCAGAAATCATTCATTCCATAATGTTGAACTTCAAAGCAAACATTTTTTGGTGGAAAAAGGCCTAAGGGTATACGGAACTTAACATTATTTAGGTACAAGTCTTTTAGTTTGGTAAAATTGATGATTTTTTTCAGTGACATTTTTAGAGAGATGTATAATTTCAGATTTTTTCACAGATTTTTTTTTGGGGGGGGGGGAGAGCAGAGGTTTCGAAAACACCAGTCAACAGACAATATTTTTCACCAGTTATACCAAAATCACCGTTTGTTGTCAGATATTCTAAAGAGACCCCTGGGAGTGGGTAAAGGAACTTAAAGCATTCTGAGTTTAGTATAGTATTGCCTCTGTACGCCTCCCCTGTGTACTTCACCTTTCCAACACTTTTTTTATTTGGGGGGGTGCACAGTCTTTGGTAAAATTTATCAATTTTCTCAGTGCCATGACAATAAAACAGATGGGATTGATATAAAAATTAATTCATTATTGATTTGGACATCGTCTTAATATGGTTATTATCATATTAGGAGAGAAATAGTCTGTCAAGGAATATCCCTTTAATAGTGGCCTGGTCAAGGAATATCCCTTTAATAGTGGCCTCAGGGTCAAGGAATATCCCTTAAATAGTGGCCGTGTCAAGGAATATCCCTTTAATAGTGGCCTGGTCAAGGAATATCCCTTTAATATTGGCCTGGTCAAGGAGTATCCCTTTAATATTGGCCTGGTCATTTAGGTGTGTACTGTTCCATTGTAGATGGTCAGCGTGGTGGCGGCTTTGGGAACTATGGGGGAGGCGGCTTTAATAACTATGGCAACCAGCCCTTCGGAGGACAGCCAAGTATGACATCATGTATTTAAACATGCAGACCCTCCCCATGCATCCATTATTATCCAAGATAAAATCAGTGTTTCCAGAAGCAGGGAGGATATAATAGCTATATACTGGGAGGTTTTTGATACAGAGTTTATCCGAGATACACATATAAACCCTGTATTCAAATCGACTCCTGCCACTAGAAAATCATAAATTCAAATTTTGGATTAAAAAAAATGTTTCGTGAAAAAAATGAAAATAGCTCTCGGGCAGATATATCACCTTAGGATAATTTCAATATCCTATACCTAATAGAGAATAAACTTTAAATTGTAATGGATTGCGCAGTTACTAGATATGTGTATTTTTATTATGAGTATGGTCTCAGCCAGACATGTGTTTTTTGGTTCACCCTTAAAACACATCCAATGACTGGATCACATTCTTAGACTATTTTTTTGTTTTGTTTATTTAGTTTGAAAGTTTCAATTAATTAATATTACTAACAATTTCTAAAATAAGTATAGTACCTAAGTTTAATACCTAGAAAATAAATCATATTAATTTAGATGTTTGATGTGGGTTTGCAATATTAATAGCACCAAGTCATGGCAACCCTTTGGTTTTGTTTGTGTCTTCCAGTTTGTACCTTTCAGTTTGTACCTTTCAGTTTGTACCTTCAGTTTGTGCATTTCATTTATTATTAAGTTTGTGTCCTTGAGTTCTCTTAATATATTGGTTTGGTTTCCATGAACAATGAATGTGTGCCTCTCTTCTGATACAAATTTCATTAAGTATCAGGCCCATAGGATTTGTCAAGGGGGTTTACTTTTTGAAAATTTCCAGAGGGGGGTTCACTTTTGACAATTTTGGTCCAAAAATGGCCAAAATCACTTAAAATATGCTCAGAATGATGAAAAACTGCATGATTTTGGAAGAATTTTTGGCAAGGGGCGTTTCGCTCAAACCCATCGAACCCCCCACCCTGGCTACGGGCCTGAGTATAATAACTCCATTTTTCCTAGGTAATCACTTTTTTGACCCACCCTGTAATCAGCCGTTTCATTTTTTGCCATTTGTCAACTAAAACATTTTTCTCAGGTAATCACTTTTTTGACCCAGTTTCATTTTTTACAATTTGTGTCAACTAAGATATCTTGTTTTGAAATAAGGATATCATCCCTTATATCTTATAAGATTCACTGGTAACAATTTTTATCCCCCAAGGTTTTTGAACCACTTCTTTCTGATCAACCCAATTAACAAATCAATTAACCATTAATTTTTACAATTAACCATTAATTTTTACAAATCTAGGGGGGTTAAAGTAATAGCCCTGTATAATTTTGTAGATTTATGTTTGCCATATTGTGAAAATATACAATTCTTCATTGATCACGAGCAGTTATACATGAATTATATTTCTATTTTTAGACCAAGGCCCAATGGATGGGGGCCGTGGCGGCGGTCGCGGGGGAGGAAGCTTTAACAATTTTAGCGGTGGCGGCAGAGGGGGATACCAGAATAGAGGGGGTCGTGGAGGCCGGTAAGGAAACATACTTTGTAGGAATTGCCACGTTGAGCCTTTGTTTAATGTTCTCTTGTTATCAGTATTGTTAAGGATAAGTTCATTATATGTGTATTGGTGTATGTATCCAAAAGCATTATATATTATGCAGGTTGGGTAATTTTGCATTTTTGTTAGAAAAAATGGTTAGAATTCAGTTACACTTTTGAAGATGTGAGGGGATCAGTCTGAAATGGAACTATATTTGGGAGAACATCGAAAGATTGGCCACTGGCAGCCAAAATATGATATTTTAAAGTCATTTCTATGCATGATGAATTTATCCAAATATGAATATGATATTACAGTAAAACCTGTTTTAGCAATGCAGGAACATGTTTCTTCACACAATGCATGTTTTACTGTATAATTATTAAGTTAAGGATTATAAGTTAAGGAATACTTTCTGTTATTAATTATAACCAATAAAAGAAACTGTTCCTTTAATAAATTTAAGTTTTTTTTATTTTTATTTATGTTAAATTGTTTTTTGTTCATTGTTTATCAGAGGTGGATACCAAAATGACAGAGGGGGTCAGGGCGGAGGTCGCTGGAGCCGGGAGGGCAGTGAGGACCCCTATAACAGTGGGGGAGGAAGACGCAGCGGCGGGGGTGACAGGGACAACAATTGGGGAGGCAGTGGGGGTAGAGACAACCAAAGATGGGGGAGTGGACCCCCACCCCAGCCTACTAACACAAGGTGGACTACCCTCTTCTATTATCAAATCCAGTGCTATTGTTAACTTGATTGTCTTTCTGTTATGCATTTTATTCAAATTATTATTTGCAATGGGAATTCTATTTAAATTTACTTTGTTCTATCCACTTATATACTGTAATATAAAACAAGCACTATACGTATCATCTGAGAATAAATCGCATTTAGTTTTTATTTAGTATTTTCCTGATTTGCGATATTGACAAAATACTTCTTCTATTTGAAAATTGTCCTTGCAAGAGCCCTCACCTATTCAGATCTATGTTGCGGATCGTCTCTTATTGTGGCCATTTATTATGACATCATCACACAATGTGGTCACATCTTATGACATCCTATATTGTGGCCACACATTGTGACATCATCACATATTGTGGCTGCACATTATGACATCATCACATATTGTGGCCACACATTGTGACATCATCACTTATTGTGGCCATATATTGTGACATCATCACATATTGTGGCCACATATTGTGACATCATCACATATTGTGGCCATATATTGTGACATCATCACATATTGTGGCCATATACTGTGACATCATCACATATTGTGGCCACACATTGTGACATCATCACATATTGTGGCCATATATTGTGACATCATCACATATTGTGGCCACACATTGTGACATCATCACTTATTGTGGCCATATATTGTGACATCATCACTTATTGTGGCCACACATTATGACATCATCACTTATTGTGGCCATATATTGTGACATCATCACATATTGTGGCCACACATTGTGACATCATCACTTATTGTGGCCATATATTGTGACATCATCACTTATTGTGGCCATATATTGTGACATCATCACATATTGTAGTGTTTGTATTATAGGTGGGACAACAGTGACAGCCAAGGGACAAGTGGCTGGGGAGGAAGTGGTGGTGGTGGTGGTAGTAATTGGGGAAATGACAGGCACCGCGAGTTTCAGCAAAACAGGTAATGAACATTGTATAGCGTAGCAATGCTAAAAAGATCTCCAACTCGGGGTCTTGTCGGAATTTTTTATGACAGACAAAATGAATAAAAGTAATTAGCATTTTTATTAGAAATTAATTTTTTGATTAACATGATAATGAAAACCTTTAAAATTGGAAATTAAAATTTGTTAACATTTGAGAATATGTCGAGTTATTATGACACTGTCCTTGTGACATCTTACTTATATTATGACATCATACTTATATTATGACATCATATTGTAGGAACCAGAATACCAACTGGAACTCCACGTTGCCCGTGGACAGATGGGCCAGTAATGGAGCACCACAGAACTCAAGATGGCAAGAACCCGAAGATGATAAACTCGATTGGGATAAACCCTTACCCAGAAATGAACGACAGGAAAAGTAAGATATCTCGCAAAATAGACCTAATGACGAGTATTTTGATATTAATGAATGACTAAAATTCTGATAAACTGAGATCTCATAGTCTGAATATTTGTTTCTCTTACATTACTTCCAAAAACTAAGTATTTCAATTTATTTTAAATTGAACAAAGGCCCTATGAATGGGTTTCCAAGTTTTTCTGTAATATAACTAGCAAATGAATTGTCTATGATGATGTTATGTAGCCTCGCTGTGAGCCCTAACTAGCACATAGGGTCATTGAAGATTTACTATTCTGAGACAGCTCAAGCAAGCTAATATAAGTAGTAGTTTCTTATTAATATTTGAATATAATTTAAAAAATATACTATACTATTGTATTAGAACTTTACTTTTTTGAGATAATCTTTAATTGTTAACGAAGTTCTTCATTTTTGATGTTTCGTAGGACCCTGTAATAATACATATCAGTATTGTTATTTCGCAGGTCCCGGTTTTCCTTTCTGAAGACCATCACCTCTGTGTGTGTCTGCACACACCCATGGAAATAATCCTTCATTTATTTCAGCGAGCTTTATGACTCTAACCCAACTGGAATCAATTTCGACCGCTACAATGACATTCCAGTAGAGGCGACCGGTGAAAATGTACCAAAATGCATCGAGGAGGTATTTATATTTATTTCAGCTAACTTTTCGATTCTAATCCGAGTATCAATTTAGAACGCTATGATGATATCCCTGTTGACACAGCAACTGGTGAAAACATCCCCAGGCGCATCAATGTGATAGTTAGATATTTAGGTCGTCAATCCAGGAATGGAGGTCACGTCCAGATTCTTCTCTTTGTTGTATGTTAATCACTTAACGCCCTCTATCAGTCGGACCTACCAATTTACCTGGGTACCAATATTTAAAAAATTCCAAGGAATAACATATGGTTACAGTCACCATTTTGTAACTGGTGTTAAGCATTGGCATTTGTAACAAAGTGTTACAATTTGATTATGTAATTGCAATATGGTGTTGATATATTGTCTTGTTTATTTTTTGTTGAAAAACATTTTTTTAAATCATTGAATTGTTAGGTCTGCCGAATGTGAAGGGGGTTATGTCCTACAAGGAGCACTACATATTGTAAACTGTCACATATTGTATCCTACTATCTGTTGTATGCTACTACAGATTGTATATTACTATGTAGTGTTTATTACAGTACTACATAATGTACACCATATTGTATACTACTGTGTATTGTATACTTCTGTGTATAGCATACTAGCCAACTATTCTTTCCTCTTAGGATATATTACAAAAATACGCAAGTTGTTCCACCTTGCATTTAAAGGCGAATGAGGGACAAATTTGGCTAAATTTGACCATGTTTGAAGCAAAATCACCCCCGTATTTTTCACAAACACATCAACTTTATGTATGTTTTCACTTAAATATGTTTTCCCTGGTTATTGATGGGCTTTTGCAGCCTATGCCTTTACAAGTGAAAAGCTAGTTGGCTTTTGTTTAGTAGTTGTTATGTGGTGCTATTTGTATGAACACTTAGTAGTATATCACACTTGTTCATCTATTCACTTAGACACACAACTGAGGATTGTTTTTGATTTGAAATAAAATCTGGCTGTTCTAAAACCTGCAATAAGGGAAGTTCACCTAAAATGCTTATGTGATGATACACAGCTGTTTAAGAGTTAATCATCCAAATGAATTGCTCCCCCCCCCCCCCCTTATAGGACAGTGGAATAGCCATCCATTCCGTGTAGTTGTGTGTCTAAGTGTGTAACAGAAAATCATGGCGGTTGAGTGTATTACAGAAAATCATAGCGGTTGACTTGAAATGACTTGAAAACTAAACCATCACCGTCCACCATGAATTTCTTAGAGTATACTGAGCATTTGGTGTTGCCCACAAAAAGAGTTGAGGTGGTGGTTTTTTTAAGTTTTCTCTAAAAGTTGTATACAGTGTCTGATTTTCTTACATTTCATTATACAATTTAGAGCATTTACATACAGTATTCCCTGTTTACTTCATTTATTGCTAATTCTACTCTTTTACACTTTTTTACACTTATACTGTTTATTAACACTTTTTTTATTATTATCAGTTTTTTGAAAATGTCACCACCATGATTCTTTTGTTACCATATGCACAAATAGTCATATAGTTAAAATGCATGCAGTTCATTGTTCATACATAAGCCCTTGTTATACATGTTCCAAGTCCATGGCACATGTATACCATTCAGAAACACTATACATTACTGTGGCCCCTTTGAGCAATCAAAAGGCCCCAAATCTGTATATTGCATGTTCTGTAGGGAGCTATTTGAATCTTCTGTGACTGGAATAAACTTTGATCGGTATGAAGACATACCTGTTGAAGCTACTGGGAAGGATGTTCCTAACCACATAGATCAGGTAGATTTTCTAGAGGGAAAATTGACAGGCCTGTAGCTGGGGGAGTGGGGGATTTGGAGAGTGGGTGACTAGAGTGCAGTTTTTAAAGTCCCACTATGCTTACTTCAGAAGAAAGGATAAAACAATCATTGAAACATGTTGCTCACACACTCAATCAAATATGATGCAAAGATTGATTTGCATTAATATTGCACCTAGAAAAAAATAATAAGAGATCAGAGATCGTTAGTAGTGCACACCCATGTTTGACAAAGTGCGAGTTTTAAATAACTCTTGATTTAAAAGATGGCGAAACTTCTATAGAAATGAATGGATCGTGTGATACAAACAACTTCGCCATCTTTCATTGACATTGGCAAAAACTTTATATAAAACTTGACAGATTGAAAAATATTTTTTGATAATTTATTGTAATCTTTGATGTGGCCCATTTGAGCTGTTTTGGTGTCCAGTAGAAGATCAATCTGTTGGAAATACTATGAAAAATTAAATCTTTATTTTGCCAAAGAATGTTGAAAATACGCATATAGTAGGCCTTTAACCATTCTGAGCACTTTCAAGTGATTTTTGGCCAAAATGGTCAAATGTGAAGCCCCCTTGGCAAAAGCTGGCTACAGGTCTGATTGAACAATAATTTGTTGCCTGTGAAATCATCCATTCCTCACTCCCAAGAGGAGGGAAAGCCCCAGAGTTTAAAGATGACAGACATAGTTACCTCTCTTGCTTACCACCTTCGTTCGTTCGAATTTTCATCGGCTAGTTATCAAATACTATACTTCGATGGGATGTTTTAATTGATATAGGCATATTCCGTAGACCTTTCTTTATCTTGATGTGAAATGAGAAGCTATGATATTGGTTAACACGCAAGAAATGAACATAATATTATTTGAAGCGTATTTCAAAAATTTTAAAACCGCCATTGATGACGTCATTTGTTTGTCGACTTTTGACCAATCAGCGATGATGTCATCTCAATTCAGATTTACATTATAAGCGTATGTCATCTTTGAACCGTGGTGTTTCTCCCCCTCTGCTCACTCCCTCAGTCTGTCAATAATTTTTGGATGAAAATAACCACTTTTTCAGAAATTATGATTGTACGTGAATATCCTTTTGAAAAATATATATTGCTTTCTTTGAAAGCAATATATATTTGCTATATTTCTAGTCTTTGCTGCTTCATCAGTATCCTTCTTTCAAAACAACATTTGCATGCTTTATAGAGTTTCTGTCGACTTGAGATACTTGTTTACATTTTCATCCAAATCCCAAATTCTATATATTTTTTAGCAATCTCAAATCTATTCAATCGCAAAGTGCCTTTCTTAATAAGATTTGAATAATTTGGCCAAAGTTTCTCTGAGCTATAGTGAAAGTTTCTCTGGCAAAAGTTTTTTAAGCTTTTTACTTGAAAAAGTGACGAACTGTTATCAAATATTAGACAGAGGTGATGTGTTTCGGTCTAAGCTATAGACAGTTGAGACGCAAACTCCTTTTGACGTATAACACATAGATATTCATTTTGCACGTCAATCGTGAATCTCACTAATAAGCATATTGTCCATTGTATTACACTGCCCCCAGGATTCCGTGTTTGCAGAGCGCGGACGGAATTTGCCTCTGCCTGCGGAATTGCAGAATCAACTATTTTGGTCAATTTCCGCGGAATTTTCCGCAGAATCCATATATTTTCCAAAAGTTTAAAAAGTCAGTCTTACCTGTAACAATTTGACACGTTTTCAGTCAAATCCCTTGCAGAAATAACCCAAATTATGCGAAGTGAAAATTCTAAACGCCATCGTTTGATTTCTGCCGTTAGATGGCAGCATGTATGTAGTGACTGACTACCTGACTATCACGATATTTTCCCGTTTACTGGTTCGAAAACCATTAGTTTTTCTTTCGGTTCTCGTCAGAAAGTTAAACAAAGACATAAATTAATAACAGTTATTTATATTATATAAAATATGTTTGAAGTTATAGTTTGATCTGTTAGAGAAGGACTTTGATTTTTATGAAAAACATTTATATTGAATAGTTATCTTTATCGTTTTTAATGAATTCCTTTAAATATGTTTGACATAAGTTACAACTTTAAAGTAATGACTTAACAAATAGCATTGCTTTTGTCAATTCGATTTAATTTATCAAAGCATTATCACATAAAATACAAAGTCTCTGCTACCCCAATCCTCTGCCATCCCCCTCCTCATTACTTAACTTACCATTCCCTTCCTCATTCCCTTTCCTTACAGTCCCCTTCCTTATTCCCTTCCCTTACCATTCCCCTCATTCCCTTTCCCACTATCCCCCTCATTTTTAGGTTTAAAGTTTTTTATTATCATTTAAACAAAACAAATTACAAACACAGCAAGGGCCGAAGCAATGCATTATTGGCCCTGGTAGTCAAGAATTTATATAATGTTAAGTGAAGTTGCAATGAGATTTAAGGATCAACTCGGTAATGCAGAACAGTATATAAAAATAAAAACTTACTCATTTAAAATAGTAACAATTAACTGCAGAAAACCTGCAGTCATTTCAACAATTTTCTGATTTGACAGATACGATAATGAGCAATCACCGTATAACAAATAATTTACCCTGTCTTGCTGTCTGAGTTGACCAAACACGGTTAAATCAAAGGATGGCAGTTCCCCAAGTTCTTCCAAAAACAAGTTTCGCTGAACAATGAATAGAGGGCAGTGTAATAATAGGTGCATTGTAGACTGTGATCTAAAGCCACAATTACAACTTGGAATATCAATGTTTCTAAAATTATGTGTGAATAAATGCTGCCTAAAAATAAAGTCACATCGAGTCTTATTCAAAGTTGATTCAGTCTTCCTATCAAGATGCAATTTTGGAGTAGGTAGCTTTATTTTAGAATTTTGAATATGTTTCCTCAGGTTAAACTTAAAACAATTTCTAGATTGGATAGCTTTCAAATCACCAGGCAGTTTCTCCCATGCTGTTATACAAGATATCACTGTACCCTTTCTGATCTTGGCCTTACAGTGAGCTGGTATTCTAAAAGATCTGACTCTGCGTAACCGATTTCCATTATTCATTACATTATGATTTCTATATAAAGAAAAGGCCTGGTTTACATAGGAAGGCATTTTGTTGTTATTTATGACGTCATAAGTAAACAATAGTTTCTTTTCATCCCTCCTGGCCCCTAGGGACCTCCAACCTAAGCATGAGGTGACTTTGGTTGCATTTGTACCTTGGGTACATCCACTGACAATCAATGCTGCCCTATACTGAATACTATCCAATTTAGAAAGTAAATTTAAGTTTGCACAATCAAAAATGATATTCCCATATTCTAAGTGAGGTAGTATAAATGCCATATAAATCTTCTCTAGATGTTGTGATCTTAAGTTATGTTTTAGTGCCATAAGTGGGTTCAACATCCTGTTACATTTAACAATTATACTGTTAATGTGTTCTTCAAAGTTTAAAGCCTTGTCTAAAATAAGTCCAAGATGTTTGTGACTATTGGTGAAAGGGATAGAGTCACCATTTAACACAATAGGAATTTGAGCAATTGGAGTTCTAGTTTTGGACTGGAAAAACACTTCCTTACTTTTACTTGTCTTAAATTTTAATTTCCAAGTCTTTGACCAGATCTCTATTCTATTAACATCGCTTTGGAGTTTTAGATAAGTTTCATGAACTGAGTCCTCCTTTTTGACAGGTAGAAAAATTGAGCTATCATCAGCATAAAGGTACAGAGTGCTATTTAAAACTGCATCGGCTAGGTCATTGATATAAAGTAAGAAAAACAGGGGACCTAATATTGACCCTTGAGGAACCCCTCATTCCTTTCCTTACTGCCCCCTTCATCTCCTTCCCCACCATTCCCATCCTTACTATCCCCCTCATTCCCTATCCCCTCCTCTCCTCTTCATTTTCTCCCCTCCCATCCTCTGCCCACATCATCCCCATTCTCTTGCCCCTCATTCCCTTCCCCCACCATTCCCTTCCCCACTGCCCCCTCATCTCCTTCCCCACCATTCCCATCCTCACTATCCCCCTCATTCCCTTCCCCCTCCTCTCCTCCCCCTCCTCTCCTCACCATCCTCTGCTCACATCATCCCCATTCTCTTGCCCTTCATTCCCCCCCTTCCATCCAGACCATTTCCTTCCAAAAACAATCCAGTGTGTAACTTAATATGTATAGTTCCTACTTCATTGTGATATCATTTCTTATTGTTTCAGTTCAGTGAAACTGAGCTTGGTGAGATCATCAAGAACAACATTGCTCTGTGCCACTATGATAGACCCACACCCGTACAGAAGTATGCCATCCCATGTGTGAATGGTGAGTATAAATTTAATGTGTTTTTTTCACGAAATGTCCTCGCCTAATTTGGTCAACATCTACCAGGAGCGGTTCGTTTTTACAAGAAATTCAAGATTTTCACACAATTTAATTTTTAAGTTAAAAGCTGCTTTTACATCTGCCTTTACTTTGAAATCACTTTGCTCCTAGAGATTGTTTGCTTCTAGACTAGTTAATGTTGCGAACATGTGTGGGATTGATTAAGACTGAACCCCTAGTCCTCCCTCTTGGGGGTCATAGCCATTATAACCTGTATATTACTTAAATTGTAATTGAAAAAAAGAACACTGATATATTTCCTGTGTTATAGGTGGCAGAGATCTGATGGCGTGTGCCCAGACTGGATCGGGTAAAACTGCCGCGTTTTTGATCCCCACTCTCAATCGCGTCTACAAGGAGGGACCCCCAGACTTCATGAAGGACCAACCCCCAAGCTCAGGGGGACGTTATAACAGGCGTAAGCAGTACCCACTGGCTTTGATCCTGGCACCTACTCGAGAGTTGGCATCACAGATTTACGATGAGGCTAGAAAGGTAATGAGGAAATGCATTTTGATTTTACTAGTCATAACATCCATTTTCCCACAAGAAGTGGTGACATATTGTTATTGTCCAACTTTTTTGGACCTCGTTTCCCATATAATGATTTGAAAGTCATGAGTCCTAATACCATATAACAAGATTTATGCCCCCCCCCCCCCCTAGAGGGATACAATAAAATTGGAGATGTAATAAATCTTATTCTTTGTGGATTTGTACTAATTTTTGTCAACACAATCAAATATAATACTTGTCATTGAAACATATTTCTTTCTGTTTAATAGTTCGCCTACCGCTCACATGTTCGACCTTGTGTAGTGTATGGAGGTGCCGATGTTGGGGGTCAAATGCGTGACCTTGACAGAGGCTGCCATCTATTGGTTGCCACACCTGGACGTCTGGTTGATATGATGGAACGTGGAAAAATCAGCGTTGAACATACAAGGTAAGATAGATGTCGCTGTTGCAGAGCCCATACCAAATAAGGACATGGGTGATTAAATACAGTAACATGTGTTTCATCTGAATGGCACTAGGACTGGCCAAAAGTGTTCAGATTGGCAGGTGTTCAGATTGGCAGGTGTTCACATTTCAAGGCTTTTCAATGATGATAATCTATGGTAGATTGAGAAAATGGGGCTGAAAAAATGTTTACATTGAGAGTTAGAGAGGTGTTCATATTTTACTGGAAGCTAATTTGAGGTAAATAAGGCAATAAAATACGATCATCAGATCTCATTTTCACAGTTTTAATCGTTTTCATATGAAGTAAGATGGAATTATCAAGGAGTAGAAGAAACATGTTATCAAGTTCCCAGAATAGCAAGTCATTAAAATTATTTGTTCACTTGGTCACAGATCAGATGGATTTATTTGGAAAAGTGATTAAAGTTGTCTATGACGATGTTATGTAGCCTCGCTGTGAGCCCTAACTAGCACATAGGGTCATTGAAGATTTACTTTTCTGAGACAGCTTTTGGGAGTATATATCATATTAGTAGAGAATATATATTTCAGAAATAAAAATCATGTTTTCAGCTCCCATTATAGCTTTTTACATCATTAAGGTATCAGTTATTTAAAAAAAGACAACCTGAAGTGCCAAATCTCAGTCGACCTCTCATCTTGTAAGGATTTAAAAATTAGGAAAACCAGAAAATGGTGAACTGAGCATATTTTCATAGATGGGTTATATTTAGAGGTTATGTCACTATCGTTGCATATATGCCCGAGGGTTTCAGAGATAAATGGCCCGACCTTGGGAGGGACATTGATCACTGAGAACCGAGGGCATATGTGCAACTATAGTGACATAAACGATTTATAACATACCTATGATGATCTAGTCTGGTCAGAGAGTATCGTTTTCTTATCTTATTGACTAGCAATGGTTCGGAAATGATGATTTTATCCCATGTTTGTATCTCACGAATGTACGAGTTAATTTGACCTAGGCCTAATGTATGACGTAGTCCCAGCGCTTGACCAATCAGAAAGTTAGCCGGCGCGGGCTTTTCAAAAGTTATATTGGCCCGCTCTCTTTGGAAAAGTTTCCACGATACTTAGTCATAGGTATGTTATAATTAACGATATATCCCATAATTTCAGGTTCCTCATCTTGGATGAGGCAGATCGTATGTTGGACATGGGTTTCGAGCCACAGATCAGACGCATTGTTGAGCAAGATAACATGCCTGGACCTGGCAAACGCCAAACACTCATGTTCAGCGCTACCTTCCCTAAGGAAATACAGGTACGAATGTTTAAATTGTATTGTAAAGGTTTTCGGCTACTGAAGTGTCTTGAAAAGAAGGTTTTTGGATGCTAAATATTAAATTTTAATGAAGGTATTTTGCTCCTGAATTGTATTGTAAGAAGGTTTTTGGATACTAAATATTAAATATTAATGAAGGTTTTTGGCTTCTGAAGTGTATTGTAAAAAGGGTTTTACTTGTGATGCGTAAAATGAAAAGAAGGGTTTTGGCTTAAGGTCAGGGTGCACTTTGATGAAATTTCATGACCATGTGCTATTTTCAGATAAACATAACTCATTCCACACATCATCTACATCTTTCATTCTTGCACAAAAGATGCATTAGTGTACCTAGACTATTAATTGAGGGTTGATAATTCTTCAGAATATTTGAATAACTAGAATATTCGTGGTTTACTTTTCAATATTGCAAGAAAATTCCAATATGCATCCTGGCCTTAAGGATATTATAAAGAATGTTAAGAACATACAGGATTGGGGTAGTAGTTGTTGACTAAGATCGGTTAGCTTATCATTAAGTTGTCTATGATGATGTTATGTAGCCTCGCTGTGAGCCCTAACTAGCACATAGGGTCATTGAAGATTTACTATTCTGAGACAACTTTTGTGAATGTCACCGCTACAGATATTCTGTTATCTCTGGGATTAAAACGATCTAGTAGGACATCATGATGTTTCACTTGAAATGTTTTACTTGAAATATTTTACTTGTGGACTTAAAAGATTTTGCTTGTGAATTTAAAACATCTTACCTGCAGACTTAAAGTCCCCGTCTAAAGTTTGAAAATATTTTTTTTTCATTCATTTACTATATTTCAGGACTTAAAAAGTGATTTTAGAGATTTTTGAACAAAAAAAAAATTTTCAAAAAAAAGTTGTGAGCATTTCATTTCTCAAATATTCAAATTTCCCGCCATTTTTCAAAAAAAGTTGAAATTTCTTAATCATCAAATATTTCTTAATGCATTTCAAAAAAGATTATCTTTTTAACACCAATGCAAAGATTGAACAAAAGACACGCTATTTCAATAATAAAATGTCATATTTAATGGGCTACACCAATGTTTTAGCTTATCAAAAATATTTTGAAACATTAGTGATGTCACTAAGGTAACAAAAACTTTTTTGAAAAAAATTGAATTTTTTTTTCGATGTCAATCTTTTCTAAATATGCTAGACTTTCATAAAAACCAATGTTGATTGTCTAACAAAATTAAAAGGAAGAATAAATTATGTTTTAGATATCATTGTACCATTGCTTTCTATGAGAACTGAAATTTTGAAATGTATTTTTCTCAGAACCATTTTCATGCACTGATAAGTTCATTTCTCGCTTGTTTATCAACCGATTTTCTTAATTTTTTCGGCAAAAAACATGGGAGGATGAATGCTATGCATTCATATGAATTGTGGCTAATTAGAAGATATTAGTGACCTCTAAAAGTTGGTTTTAAATAAATCCACAAACTTTGGAACAAAAAGTCTATCAAAAACCACTTTTTGAAATTTAAAAAAATAGTTTCACATATCACACTTTGATAACATTGGGTAAGACTACAATATTAGCCAAAGTGGTTTAAACTTTACATGGGGCCTTTAAAAGATTTTACTTGTAAACTTGAAATATTTTGCTTGTTAGCTTAAAACATTTTACTCGTTGACTTAAAACTTTTTTACTTGTTTTAAATAAGTGCTCCACTCTTCCAGATGTTGGCTCGTGACTTCCTCCAAGAATATATCTTCTTAGCTGTAGGACGTGTTGGAAGCACCAGTGAGAATATCACGCAAAAAGTTGTGTGGGTCGAGGAAATTGATAAACGATCTTTCCTGTTGGATCTCCTTAATGCTGCAGGTGGGTAGAACAAAACACGTCAAAAGTGTTCAGATTAGCAGGTGTTCACAGTTTTTATAAATATCAGTGATCTCCCCAGCATTAAAGCAAGTGGGTGCAGCACCCACCTGAGATTTTGAAAATAAGCTTGCACCCACCTGAAAATCCATTTGCAATCACTTGAAAATGAGAAAAATGCATATTTTGGCCAAATTGTGAAAATGAAAATTTTGCACCCACTTCAGAAAAAATCCTGTGGAGATCACTAAACGTCAATTGGACCTTTCAAATTATTCCATTCATATTTAAATGAGTCAGAAAATAGTAGGTTAATCCGGTAGCCGACAAACGTTAGTTGTATTCGCAAATACAAGGTAAGTTGAAAGTCCTGAATTGTCACGTTTAAAGTGAAATGACCCTTCATTGTCTAATTTGACCCTAAATTGGCTAATTTGAAGTATTAATGCCCTAAATTATCATATTATATATTATGTGTTATATTGATTAAAGCGTTAACCCTTATATTTTCTTAATTAAAGGTCCTGACTCATTGACATTGACATTCGTTGAGACAAAGAAGGGTGCAGATTCTTTGGAAGAGTTCTTGTATGGTCAGGGTTACCCGGCAACCAGTATCCATGGTGATAGATCCCAACGTGAGAGAGAGGCTGCCCTGGATGCGTTCAGACATGGCAAGAGCCCCATTCTCGTTGCAACAGCTGTAAGTATAATGTACAACTTGGGGGATATGTTTAAAATGTTGTTACCATGGTATTGAGGTGGATAATATGCTAAAATGATGCATTTTTATGAAATCATGTTCTGCATTCAAAAGTTTAATAATCACTTGCCTTGCCTCAAACACTTTCTGATGTAGGATTCTTATTTAATGCTTTTCATTTAATGTTCGTGTGTTTTTGATTTCTCTATCTCTTTCACTCTCCAGGTTGCAGCAAGAGGTCTTGATATTCCCAATGTAAAACATGTCATTAACTTTGATCTGCCTGGAGATATTGAGGAATACGTGCATAGGATTGGTCGTACTGGACGTGTGGGAAATCTTGGTAAGTTAAGTTAAAAAAATTTTGGCCTCATAGTTCATGTTTGAACAGTTTTATCCTTATTCTAACTGAATGATAAAGCCATTATGATATGATATTGATCGACCGTCTGCTGAAGTGATTATGAATTGCATTATGGGATATATGTTTTTTGGTAATATCTTTTTTCAACATCATGAATTTAACCTGATCGTCAAGGCTACAATAAAATTGATCATCTGCTGATTATATGAATTGCATTATGGGATATATATTCAGGTTTGGCAACATCTTTCTTCAACATCAAGAATGACTGACCTTGTTGACAAGGCTACAATTAAATTGATCATCTGCTGATTATATGAATTGCATTATGGGATATATATTCAGGTTTGGCAACATCTTTCTTCAACATCAAGAATGACTGACCTTGTTGACAAGGCTACAATTAAATTGATCATCTGCTGATTATATGAATTGCATTATGGGATATATGTTTCAGGTTTGGCAACATCTTTCTTCAACATCAAGAATGACTGACCTTGTTGACAAGACTACAATTAAATTGATCATCTGCTGATTATATGAATTGCATTATGGGATATATGTTTCAGGTTTGGCGACATCTTTCTTCAACATCAAGAATGACTGACCTTGTTGACAAGGCTACAATTAAATTGATCATCTGCTGATTATATGAATTGCATTATGGGATATATGTTTCAGGTTTGGCGACATCTTTCTTCAACATCAAGAACAAGAACCTGTTACGTGACTTGATGGACCTTCTGGTGGAAGCTCACCAGGAGGTACCCTCTTGGTTGGAGTCTATGGCGTATGAAGCAAGACACGCTGGTCCTTCAAGAAGAGGTGGAGGTAAACGGTAAGTACAAAGGGCTGTTTTTAGAATTCTCTGCAATATTATAGAGCAAATATTCTTTCCAATGCTGCATTATTATGTCACCACCAAGAGTGCCATTGTAATGGTCACCATTTTTTGTGATGGCATTGACTTTCCAATGCTGCATTATTATGTCATCACCAATAGTGCCATTGTAATGTGTAATGTTTTTGTGATGGCATTTGGCGTGTGGGGTTTGGTGTCTGTAACAAATGGTAGGTAGTGACTTTTTGCACGTTTATGCCTTGTTTGTATAAGAAATGTTTTAAAAGTCAGTTCATTCACTCAAAGGTATAAACAAGTCATTATACTCCCTAATGCTTAATGTGTATTGCAAAAATAAGTCCTTATTGTTGATTTTTGTTTCAGATTCGGACCTGGTTTTGGCAGTAGAGATTACCGTCAAACAGGAGGCCGCGGAGGTGGTTCTGGAGGTAGCAGTGGAGGCAGTAACTACAATGCCCCCACCCCCCAGACCAATGCTGCCGTGTTCAACCCCATGGCCATGCAATACCAATTTGCTAACGCCAGTGGGTATGGAGGAAGTTATGCGGCACCACCGCAACCCGTACAGCAAAATCCAAATGATTGGTGGGGTAATTAGACACCCCCTTTCCTCTTGCTGGGCATCTAGAGGCTAGGTTACTGTGACACTTTGACATTCAATCTGCAGGGCAATTTTCACGTCTGCTTCTTATTAAAACAAATGCATTATGGGTAAAATAGAAAAATGTGACAGATATTGAAATGTTATCTTAGGAACAGTGCATTTGAGTAATACATAAACAGAAACGTCTGCTGCTCGATATTGCATTATGGGTAATACAGAAAAATGATGATAAGAAGAAGTGACAAATATAGCAAGTTAAATACAATGGCTGAAACTTAAGTTAAAAAGAAGATTCCTTCATTAAAAAAGTACTGAGTCTTACAGTAGCAGACATAGGGAGTCCAGAGAATATGAGAAAGATTAATGATGTTGAAATTGCCCTGCTACCCGCTATAGAGGGTTTTATCTATTATAGTGTTGTAAACTTATCAACCACACATCCACACTTACCGCTCTAAGGGCCACAATGGGCCACCTCCCCAACACTGGACCAACATCATTCAACCAACATTGTACACCTACAGTCTAACCTCTTCATGTAAATGTTCCTTAATGTTTTTCATAAGGAGAGGTTTTATTGTACTCTGGTCAAAATTGTGATCTTTTCAAATGGAAATTATTTGACACTTTGTTGGTTGCTTTGTATCATCTTTGGCTGTTCTATATATTCAAGCTAGTGCTAATATGTATAAGTAGGGGTATCAGAGTTGTGTGTAGGCCTAACTGCTGTTGGCTATTTTTTGTTTTTCTTTAATCTGGCCAGGTATTTGATTTTTTTTTTTTTGGTATTCAGCCAGAGATTTTTACTTTGTTTGCCAGTGTTGGTGGAATTCCATGCATTTTTTCTGTGTACATTTTATCATATTAAAAAATGGACACAGGAACAATAAACATGATATGCTCCTCATCATGTGACCATGTTCCAAGCATCTGATTGGTTCATGTGATCATTTTCCGAACATCTAATTGGTCAAATCTTTTGATCATTTTGTAAACTAAGGAGCAAGATATGCTCCCTCTCATGTGACCACACATCTGGCCCTCTGATTTGCCAGCTATCTGGGGAGCATACATTGGTAGTGTCCCTTAGAGCTAAGCTTTCGAAAGCAAACAAGCAAGAAAACTCCTCCAATGAAAACAAATCTAAGGAGAAAATGTGTATTTAATGCACCCAGAGAAAACAGTGACAGTCAGTATGTACAAGGCTAAAAAACACATAAACATGACAACAATAATGGAGGGTGACTTTAACTGTGCAGTCAAGTCCTATTTTAGTTAATGTAATAGACAGTTAATGTAAGTTTATAACTGAAATTGAGCCAATTTGTGACAAAATAGCACTCATATACTTGTTATGAGTGTAACTTAGCGCATCATATTTAAGTGGAACAAAGTTCGCTATGAAAATGCCTTGAGAACTTGTTAGTCAATTGATATATAAATGAATCGAGTCGTGCTCATTTAGACTATTACTACACTGTATATATTTTTGTAAAATGCAGAGATATTGCGACAATGGGAATGGCATGCGCGAAAAATAAATGTTCGATATGATCATATATTTGAGAAAATCAAAAGTGTAAAAACGCACAAAAGCAAACATTATAAAAAGTTCTTAAAACTGTGCTAAGCTCAAAGATATACATGTTAACAGTCTACTGTATAAATGCAGGTCTGTGTTTATGCAGGTCTGTGTTTATGCAGGTCTGTGTTCATGCAGGACTGTTTTTATGCAGGAATAGACTTCAAGTTACTCTGTACAGTTAATCTCTTTCAAATAAGTGGCAAAAGTACAGTATGTATACTTTTTGTATTGTATTGGCAGTTATCTCGGTATTGACAATTATCTCAATATTGGCAATTATCTGGTATTGGCCATCAAAAATGTCTAATTAATACATGCCATATTCTTTGTATTGATAACGGCGCATTGCTGACAATGTACAATAAATATATACATGTATGCCTCAAATTGTACGAACAAATCGTAAACGTTATCAAAGTTAATGTCCGCTGGGTGATAATATAGTTGGATAAAACATTGATACGTATGTTAAATAATCTTAAACTTGTGTTTATAAAAGGTTGAAATGTTATTAAATGATCTCAATTTATCTCTGCACAGTTAAGGCTAGGTTTAACATAGTTGTGATTAGCTTTATATATTGCACATTATTGCGAATCATGTGCTACGTGTTGAAATGTGTCGACACTGCAAAAAATAACGTTATGCTAAAAAAGGTATACATTCATAGGCATCGCAGGCTCTCATTTGAAGTAAATATACATGTTGATTTTTGATCATGTAGATACATATTACATATGTATAAACAGGGGATGATATACTTTATATAAGAGGCTTTAAGTCAACACGAGGGCACATGGGGTAAGAGCCTTTAAGTCCTATTCAGAAACGAATTCAAAATGTTTGGAACCTTTTTAACTGTAGCATTAAATATGGGATTTTATCTTATAAAGGGGTTTGAATATGGGACTCAAGTTTAATATAAAGGGTTTTAAGTATGGGTATTGTACGAGTATAATATAAATTGTGAACGGTTTTCAATATGGGACTTATTATATGATTAAAGCGTTGGAACATGGAATTTGCATAAAATATCTAGGGTTTTAAATATTGGATTTGTATAATATGAACTCTAAACTGTTTAGAATATGGGACTTTCATGTATTATAAAGGGTTTTGAATAATAGGACTTATGTATATCATAAAGGGTTTTGAATATGGGGACTATATATATATACACTTGGGTGTCCAAATTTGCTTCATGGGAGTCTAAAAAGGTGCCATATAGCGTAACATATACAAAATGATTACATATATACCAAAGTGGGGAAATGTAAATAGTCATTATACAGTTTCACGTCTTTTGAAAATGCTAAGGAGATCACTATTACCGTATTTCTGTGTTTAAATGTATGTTTCCAAAGTTGAGCAAATCTGGGGGAAATCTTATTTTCTCTAAAGTGGAACAATGCTCAAAATGAAACGCAAATCACTAAAATGTGTGATTTGTTAAAAATGCAGATTTTAGTTTTATTCCTAAGCTGAAAATGAGTATGAGTGCAATTTAAATTTTGAAAAGTATTTATATTGTTCAAAACTCTGATTTTTGTGTACGAGTATGTGGAATTGCCAAGTGTTAAAAATTTGTATATAGGCCTACAAAATGGAAGTCTCAGTTAAGCCCTTCTGAATAAATTCACGCTGTGCAGATTTTGTTGAATTCAAAAATGATATATAAAATTTTTGTGTTCTCAAAATTTTAACAGGATGAATTAATTCTTGGGGTGATATCGTTTATATGTTATACTTAATAACTCACAGTCAACAATTTATATTTTTATATTCAACAAATAGGCATATAATCTGGTGCCATTTCTGCCCTTACAAATTGTATCACAGTGATTTTTCTCTCAAATTGAATATTAAGATTTGTACAGTGGATAGGCTATACGAATTCATGCCCCTGTTATCATATTTTGTGAGGGATTATCAATTCTGGTATTTTTTGTAAGGGTCAACTGAGACATACTCACGAGCAGCGCCCACGGTATATATGTACATAGTGTATTATAAGCAGTGTAAGCCATTTATGCAGTCCGCCAAAGATGAAAATATCACCATATATGGTCATGCTTCTTCCTTGATATAATTCTCATTTCACTGTTTCTATGAAAAACACGACCATTGGGATATTTTCTTCTCCGGTGATATATAGAGGGTTGGACAATTGTGTTCACGAACGGTTGTTGAATGTAAGAGTGTGAGTCAGTGTATGCCCTAAGGATTCCAGAGCTGCTGGTCAAAAAGGCATTACTGACCAGTTGCAATGTTATTTTCCTATACCTAGTGAAAAAATCAACTGGTCAGTATCAAAAGTAACCAGATAATGACCAGCTGTCCGACGCTTAAGGCGTGCCCTGGTGTGAGTGTGTAACATATTTGTTTATACTGAAAATTATACATATCCTAAGGTGCGAGACAATCTTTATAGCCAGATTGAGCAACGTTGTTGTCATGGTGCTGATGACAAAAATAAGCACTGGTAGCTTCATGTTGTACTACCAAAATTAAGTAACAGTGACTTCATGATGTATTGTTATTGGGTTTTCATAAGAAAAAAATTTGTAATGCTAGCTATTATTATTAATCAAAAGTACAATTGAAATATATAGTGCTATGTATAAAAATTGGTGCCAGTCTCTTCATGGATTAAGTTAAGCAATATGAAGCAACAGTGCTATCATGAAATCATGAAAAGTTTGTCAGCCATATTTGCCCAATCACCGTGACATTGGTCATTTTGGATGATGGAAACTGAGTGTTCACTTGAAAGAAGTGTTCACTGTGGTAGATTTTATTGTAGATTATGAAGAAATGGCAGAGTTGTGATTAAATTCTGCTACTATCTGTCTCCAGGCACCTTAAGGAACTGTATAATTCCAATTCTCAGGTTTTCTCTATTATCGCTACAGTCATGTCAACCGTAAAAGAGCCAGATATTCACATTTTTTATTCTTCATTCTGTGGCTCTTTTTATACACACACAAACTATAGCCATCTCACTAACAAAATTATTCTCTATTTGAAATCAAAAATTGTTCAACCAAAGCAAAATAGTTCATAAAATTGGGTTGTATTTTCATATCTAAAGTTTGATATTCCTTGGAAATACAAGAGTGAGTTTGGAACTTTGTATATAATAATATGATGTTGTACAGGCTGACAGCCAGAAAATGGTTTGTTAGTGTCAGCGAGACCTAAGTTATTTGTTCAGAAGTCAGGGAGGTAATTTTTTGTATTAATATTATCCTGTATATTACGCACATTGCATAGTACTTGAAGATTTTTAGTGATTCCTTATTCCTAATTTTGGATATATTAAATACAGGGTGATTCATGAAGATATTAATGAAAAAAGAAATATTGCATTTCACAGTGACACACCCTGTATGTAAGAACAGTTTTCTTG